TGCTGCCGGCGCGGTTACGGAGTTAGGAGGGAGAGGGGCGGCTGCTGGGGCCGCCCTGGAAGGGGTTAAGGAGCCAGCCTCGGAGCTGGTCGTGGCCCCACCTCTTGGCAGCATGATGGCCACACGGGGAGGCAGAGAGCTGGAGGGAGGGAGGGAGGCGGTGTGTGTGATTATTATTCACAGCGCTGTCCGCAGCAAGCTCAAGCTGTAACCCACATTTCTATCCAGAGAGGGGCATAGGGGACGGGAGACAGCTGGATCCCCCTCCATGTGACAGCCCAGCATGCCAGGGAACAGTCTCCTCCCTCCCTCCCTCCCAGCCGCTCTGCTGCCCGCACGCCCCTGACAGAAATGGGTGCCTGTTCTTAAAGGGCATTTTTCTCCCTGTCGGGGGCAAGGGGAAGCGGATTCCCCTGTTCTCGGGGGGGAGGGGGGGGAGAGACTTTCACCCCTATCGCTGAGTGATCTGCAAGGCAAACAGGTGGGACAAGCGCTTCCTAACTGGGTGCCCGCCTGCAAGACGGGCAACCACGCAGAAGCCCTGTCCCCTTGCTGGGGTCCGGGCGAGGGAGAGAAGCTTGTCCCAGGTGTGCGCCGTGCCGAGCCTCAGTGTCCTTTCAGTGCTAGTGCTCTGCCTCTGGCCCTCCCTTGGCTTCCAGGGCCAGGCCCTTCACACCCAGGCTGCCTTTGTAAACATGCCTGTGCCCATCTCTGACAGCAGCAGTGCCTGGCTGTGCTCAGACCCGAACTGAGAGTCGCAGCCCTGCACTTCCAGCTTTTTATGTCAGTGCCACTGGCTTTAGGGCAGCCGTTCAACCCTTCATTTAAGAGCGCCAGGCGCCCGCAGGCACAGAACTTTACAGGGGTCAGTCTGAATAGCTGTCCTTGACTGGCGCTTCCAATATTATACCGTAGGCCGAGCATCGTGTCCTCCTTTAAAGAAGAGAAAGATGTATTCATGTATTTGCAGTTGTAAACTATAACAGGCACTGTTCTTAGTGCTTTTGTTTTTCGGGCTCATCACTCACGGTGCAAATCTTAGGACTTGGGGGTGAAATCTTCATCCTGTAATAATCCACTTGATGAGAGAATACTAAATGCACGATATCCGGTTCTTTTTACTAAATGATCTGTGGCATGTATTGTAGTTCTTGGTTATAGTAAGGAAATTATCTCCTTTCTTCTCTCTTAATTGTTGTTTCTATTTGCTACCGCTTAAAATATGTATTTTATCTGGCACATACAACACAGGTATTTACTGCCTCCCAAATGCCATTGGTTGTTCGATGCATCAACACAGTAAATCTTGTGGGTGGAGGGGGGAGAGGCATAAAGTGGTTGCTTCTCATGCAATTAATTTGACCTGAAAGACAATTAGTACATTTGACAAGGGAATTAGCTTTTTATAGACTGCTTTATGTTGCATGATACTGGCAAATTTATAATTGTTGCACATAGCTCTAAATGGCTTATAGTTTAAAATTGAAAATAAATGACCTACGAATAAGTTTAATATCTAAAAGGTCAGCAACTAAAATAGGCAATTCTGTGGAGCTCTGAGCTGAAAACCATAATAATACCCCTCCAAATGACCCTTATGTTTTGGCTTTTAAGTTTTGTAAAACCTTAATTTGATTTTTTCCTCTGTGTATAGAGAATATTAATTTATATATATATAAAATGGATCTAAGCAAGGATAATAAAAAGCCATTTTGTCAATTTGAGATGCCATGTTTTTAGTTTTGATATTTTAAATAACAATAAAGGAGGGGGGACAGAATCAACAAATTATTCCAATACTTGTGGATGGGGTTTTCAAAGCCAAATAAGAAAAGGAAATGTTTACATTCTACAGAAAAAGCAGCACAGAACTAACAATATTAATCCTTTACCCATGTGTTTATAATAGTATTTTCTCCTTATTATAGTGCATTAACTGCCGCACTTGACTGCATGTTGAAATATTTGATTAATTTACCATGAACAGGTTGTATTCCTGATTGTTTAACTATCCTATCAGACAGCTTAGTAGCCTGCCACAACAAGAATGGATAAATGGAATTAACAAGCTGTGATTAATGAGTAGGGTGGTGTAGGGG